AGAAAGGAAGCAGCTGCGAGGCTTTTCAGGAAGCAGCTGCAAGGCTTTTCTTTAGCTGCTTGTGAGATGTCTGCATGAGCTGCTTGCAACCTGCCTGTTTAATAAGAAACTGCTGCAAGTCATTTCATTGAGCTGCTTGCAACCTGCCTGCATCAGCTGCTTGTAGATAAACTTCAACAGAGTACTAAATGGATAATCTTCTTCAGGAAGATTATCTATAGCGGAGTAATAAATGAACATCCACAATATAATTATTTTCATAACAAAAATTAGATTTTCTTATGTTACTATTAGAGAAAAGGCAAAAAAAAGGAGAAAAAAGACAAATAAGTTTCTTGACCAAAGAGAGGTGTCAACGCAAATTGCATTTTATGTATTTACGCTGCAGCATTCTCAAAACCAAAACTGACAACGATCTAACTTCATCATTGAATTCCCATTGGAAGTAAAAATGAGAGAACTCCCAAGACAAGAAATACACAGTTCAAAGAACAAAATTGAGAATTCCAATTTTTGTAGCCATTTCGGTTAACTTTTACACTGTTCCCAGTTTTGGAGAACTGGAAAGGAGGATTCCGCTGCCCCTTACAATTTAACTTGGATAACGCTCAATGTAAACAACTGTAACGAAGGTGAATGTTCTTGCATCTAAAAAACCTTACAACTGATTACAGTTGATACAAAAATTCCGCAAACGAAAGGGGGAACGTCCTTACTCTTCAGCGAACAGCCCTACGTTATAGATTTGTTACCACCTCAAAACCATTTATGAAGAATTTGATCATCCAAAATAGGTACTATAACTGTTGAACATGGTCCGTTATTGCATCAGGGCAGGACTGAGCTTGAAGAAGCTCCAAACGCGCAGAAGGTGGAGCAAACTGCAATATGTAGTCTTCATCTGAAGATTCACAACATTGTAAATAAACAATCAGAGCTTTGAAAGCATTTCAAATTTCTTGTTTCTTTCCTCCAAGTAATCAAACTATATTCCGAACAAGTAAAAGAAAAAGTACACTTAACAAAAGCTTTTACTAGTGTTCTTACTTTCTTTAACTGTCCCGTAGAGCCAGCATAATACTTCATCTGCAAATGCTAAGCACACTCCACCCTACCACAGCAACAGCCAAGAGACATGAGCACTGGAACCTAATTGCTAACTTGACAACACTAGGAAAACTTAAGAGAAACCAAAGCGATAAAAGACTTCTCACAATGTCTTTCATGTGTAAGGCTCATAAGCAACAAGAGAATTTTTTTTACCCAGTGCAAATTGATAAGAAACTGCTTGGTTTCCATTACGGAGCAGGTAGTGCTCCAATTCCTATGAAAGCTAGGTGCAGAAAACAGGTCACTATTTTTTCTCTTTTTTTTTTAAACTTCTCTTTTTGTTTTTTCCTTAGGAGTAGATCGATAAGAAAAACAAGACGGGAACTGCCCTTGGCAGCGGAAAAGGGGCGGAGAAGGCCAATGGGAAAATCCTATGATCCCCGATTGAAGTATGCAATGTCAATAACTAGGCTACTGGTGGATGACCTTCAATATTGTCAACTAACTGAAGCATAATGTTATGCAGAAAACCGCTATTAAATTTCACTATTGAGCTATAAAGGTCTTGGGTTGTTTCACCCATTATCTTTGAATTTCTAAGTTGGATGCTAATGCTTAGGTACTTTCAGAGCCAACTCTTGGCAAGCTTATTCCCACACTTGTAACTCGGATATTAAAGTTTGAGTTGAACCCCAAACCATGTTATACATGCCGGAGGCTGTTGAGCTATACAGTTCTCCCACATGATTTTGTGTAAGGGCTTCCTTTATAAAGGTCTTGTACACCTCTATCCACTACCTTAAGGTTTTAGGTTGGATGTTCAAATTCTTTCAAACTCACTATGTTGAACATTCATATGAAAATGAGGAGCAAAATCTAATTCACCCTCGCGACCCCCCCCC